ACCGCGGCGGTAGCCGTGCGTGCCCGTCGTCGCCTCGTCGTCACCGGCCCCCGCGATGATGGCGTGGTACCTGTCGTGCTTCCACTTGCCGTCACCGTCGTCATCGCCGTCGTCGTCGTCGTCGTTGTCAAAGCCACGCCGGCCTTTGCCACCCGACTGGTGCAGCAGCACGACGCCGTGGTCGCGCGACAGCGACACCTTCAGCACGCTGCTATCGACCGCCATGCCGTCCATCTTCTGCACCGCCATGCTGGCGTCGGCAGGGTTGCGGTATGTGCAGAGCACACTCCCAATGAAGCGACCAGACTTCTCCGTGAACATCTTGTACGACTCGACCGGGCCGAAGGCCTCAAACTCGGCGCGAAGGGCGTTGGCGCCGTCCCGCTCGATGCGCTCAAGAGGGATCTGCGTGATGTACACACGGCATGTGTTGTCGATGACGAGACTCGTCGGAATCGCATCGCGGCTGCGCTTCAACTCCAAGCGGTCCCCCGCCAGCGGGGTGAATGTGACGTTCCTTGCAGCCCCAGACATTCGCGTCAGTCACGCCCAGTCTCGTCCCTCGTCTTGCTGCACACCAGCACACCAAGCTAATATAGATATATATAGATATAGTGCGTGCGAGTTCACCTTCGGGGTCCTTTTTTTCCTTTCCCCCCCTCCCTTTTCCTCTTATTCTTCTTTTGAGTGAGCAGCGAGGCGGACCAAGAGGAGGGCGAAACAGTAGTCGAAGCGGCACCTCCACAAACCGAAGACGGCACACAAAACACACCCACACACACACACACACACACCACACATGCAAAAAGAAGAACCCATATCAACACTAGCTTCATCATCATCATTATCATCCGCTTCTCTGCGCATCCGTCCCCGCATGTTCACCTTTTTCATTAGGCAGTCAAATATATATATATATATATATATATGTAAATATATGTGTGTGCAAAAGCCGGCATGTGTGTCTTTTTCTTTCCCTCGTCGCTAGTGATGCGTTGTTACTTTGTGGCCATCCACATACATGTTGCGTGTGGCACGTGGCAACTCAATCCTCAGCCCGTCGTGCTTCTCCTTCAGCAGCTTGAGCTGACAGCCCAGACGGGAAGTGGCCTGCGGGAAGAAAGACATGTCAAGCATGTCATTTTCCTCGTCGGTCGGCTCGTCAAAGAGCTCCATGGCGGCGTCGTTTTCCAAATAGACGTGGCACGTGGAGCACGCACAGGACCCGCCGCATGCCCCTTCAATTGGCAGCCCCTGCTCTGCAGCAACGTCAAGGATCGTTTGCCCTTCGTACGCCGTCACCTCGCGCTTCGTACCGTCCGGCAGCTGCACGTGTAGGGTGAGTGGCTTGCTGCGGTCGCCAACAAGATCGCCGTGGAAGCGGCCCGCGTGCACGAGTGCAGCAGCGGCAAGCGGGGCACCCGCCTGTCGATAGCTGCTCCTGGTACACTGGTGACTGAGGAACGCAGCAGGCTTCTCAAAAAGGCGCCATGAAAACAAACGGCGAGAGGACACAGTCAGCATCCTTATTCTGTATCTGATGGAGCTGTGATGTATGCTGAGAGACTTACGACCCCTCTCTCCCTTGATCAAAACAACAGCAGCCTCAGCAAAAGCAATTGTAGGCACCTTCGTCTACGCAGGAATTCACACTCTTGAAGTGGCGTGGAGGAAGAGGAAGTAAGAGAGGGTATATGTCTGAGTGGGCCATGCAATCGCCTCCGTCACCAAGAAGGAAAAGCATGAGGCGCTCATAAAGTGTATCAAATCGTATTAGCATCGCTTACTCTTGTTCCTCTTTGCTACACCTCAGATTCTCTCTCTCTCTCTCTCTCTCTTCTCGTGGACATATGCGTACGTGATTATGTGTAACGTAAATTTCATTCTTGGTCATTCCGTTTAGCATAGCACGTGTTATGCACCAGGTTTCGTTTTGATTCATATGCGACCCTTCCTTACTCTCAGACCTGGGACCAATCCGCTTTTGTCTCTCTTCATCATCTAATTCCTTTTTCTCCCCTCCTTTTTTTTCTCCTTAGCCAGTGCTGCTACTGGTCTTGGCGGTGTCTTCCTCGTCCATGTTGTCGAGCAGAATACACAACGTCTTCTTGCATCCAAACTCCATGAAACTAAATGCCCCGACGACCGCCAAAACGACCACCAGCAGCAGGAGCTCCACTACGACACTCTTCGCCACAAACACATTCATCACCTGCTCGTACGGACCAACGAGCACCACCCCAGGCTGCGAGAGGCGGTAGGACGTCAGCGCCACGTTCGTCGACAGTGCGCGACGCGATGTAGGCGCCGCAGCGCGTTGCTTCATGTGTGCCTCAAGTGTCTCGGCGTATTTGAGCAGACCTGCGCCGCCGCCCGCTACGGGGCTGCGCTGCGACTCCGCAGCGTGACGTAGCAGCCCCGCCATGTATGCGGCACTTCCTACCCACGGCTGCGCGCCAGCAGCCGTGGGACGGCCCAGCAACGCCTGCGCGAAGGCGTGCACGAAGTCGACGCGTCGGCTGAACGG